GGTTATGTAACACTCATTAATTTCTTTCCATTCTTGCAGTTAGATTTCTCCAAAGCACTGTTAATAGTTCAGACTGTTCTGCCAAAATTTGTATAAATATTTGTATTTAGTATAAACACAGAAATGAAATGGATATGTATTTGTTTTATTTAATTTATTCCATTTAAAATATATGTGTTGAATTTTATTTTTAAAAAGATGGAATACCAGAACAAATATAAGTTATTAAAATCAGAAGGGGTTTCAAGGTGAGCCTTTCATATCAATAATAAAAATGATTTCAGTTATCCATCACTTCTCAGCCTTTTCACTAAGATCAAGTGTAGTATCTCAGTTTTCTTATTTTGGGCTTATTGAAAGTATCATTTATCCATCTTTGAACTGACAGAGAACTAACTGCTGCCCCATTGCTGATCTTGTACTGACATAAATATTTTCTTAATTTCAATATTTATATACTCTTAAATTCTGTTAGGTTTTAAACATTTTATGTAAAATCAATACAAATCGATCAATACAAATTGACCATCTGCAAGACATGTTAAGTAAAGGGACTGGTGGATTTTCCCAGCTGTTTTATTCCCACATCAACTATCATCAGCTGGACAAAAAATATTCACTAGTCTCTTGATATTAAGTCAAAATGCTCTTTGAGTTTTGTAAATTGTTTTGTGTGGGGTCCATGAGGTGACAGACATTGGGGGTGATGATTATAGGGTGAAGAAATAGGAAACCCTCCCACTGCACTACTATTCCCCCAATAACTGTTGGACTACTAACAGCTAACAGGAACATGGAGTGGTTCTGAGGTATGAAAGGAATTTCCCTCCTGTTTCACAGCATACCCTCTCATTCACCCATAGCATCCGATTGAAGAACTTTTGAATTTAGGCCAGTTTAAAAATTTGGTCTCTCCCACAACTCACAGACTTTATGGGAAGAGGCATGTCCATAGCAAACAGTAGTCAATAAATGTTGGGCTAATTCAAGACAGAATGTTTGACGAAGTGTGTCAAGTTGTATCGACAATTAAAAATATCTCAGGTATCTCAGGATAAGAGGGAAAAACTTTAACTTGAAACAGCTAATGACCACTTAAAGTGCCTCAGGTGTGGGAAAGGGAACAAATAAGGGCTATGGCCTTCAGAAAAAAGATAGGAAGGGCATTTTTGGAATAATTAACCAAGTAAGAAAAGATTCCTAAAATAATTTCTGCATCTACAATTCTTTGATAGTTAAAATGCAATCAATCAAGAGTTGAGGACATAGTTTTCAGTGGAAGGGAATAATCAAAATCATTCTAGCTTAAATGCACCACTATCATGCAGTTAATTACAAAATATAGAATCCTGCACAATCCAAATAAAAGATAGCAAGAACAACAGATGCACATCTGTAGATAAAGCAGCTGGCTTGTTTCCTTTTTTTGTCTCTTGATGGTAAATTAATTCAAGAAGTAAACAAATAAAATATATGATAAAGCAAATGACAGGGACACTTTTTTCATGCAGGATATCCTAGGTGAAATCACCAAGATGATCTGGTAATGATTTGCGACCAAAATCAGTGTGGCCAATCTCTGCCGATCAGCCATATCTATGCTATGAAATGGCTGTTGTGGGAAAAAAGTAAAAGGAACCCTATGTATATGTGCCTTGAACTTCTGAATAAAAGATGAGATGTATATCTAAATCAAATGTACAAATAGGCTATATGGGCTACCCCATGTAGCTACAAAGAGAATTAAGGCTATACAGTGTTAATTGAAAAGCAAGATCATTTATCACAAGTTTTCATTATTAAATGTACAAATAAAGGAATTGTTCTGGGAGTTCCCAAACTAAATATACTAAGACCTCATGATGCATGTGCATCATCCTGTTCTCAAGTTGATGAGATAAGTTGACAATCCACCTTTCAACTTTCAAATCCAGTTAAAAAATTCCTGATAAAATAATTAATTCCCTGTATTTACTGTAAGATCAAACCTTACTTTCACTGATTACAGCCTTCTCTGTCTTCCCCTGAAATCCCCCACCCTCAGATGTTTCTGGAAATTGAAGGTACACTAGGAATACCATCGAACTACAGGTGAAGAGGTTTGTTGTGAGAAATAGTCATCTTTAACATGAGAAAAAAAATTAAGAAAGTCATGGTATTTAATTCTCAGACACTTTCAATGTCAAATGTTCAATATATAAACTTACTTATTTAAGGTGACTATAAAAAGTAATTGTAGTAATTAAACTTTGAGATCTGCATTTACATCTTAACAAAAAAATATTTTAAACACCTATTTGCACAACATTGTTTTACTATTCATTTCATTCTACTTACTGTGGCTGTTTCATTTTATACTTCCAATCAATCATCTTCAATTTTTAACTATGAACATTTTCTTGTGAAAATAACTATCAAAATCCGTGTTACTAAACAGATATACTAGAGACCATTTTAAGGCAAACAAGATTACAAAATATTTTTTATTACTAAGAATAAAACTCAATAAAAGTTAATAAAATTCAATGCCTGATCATATGCATGCTTACTCATGAATACTGTCATTTGATAATTACTAGTTAAATATACAAATGATTGCAGCATCATAACAATATACATTGCTAATATTGTATATTTACAATGATAGCTCCTAATACTTCGATAATTCAAAAAATAATTTCTCAGATAAAGTTACATTCTTTTCATGTTAGGAATGAACAGTAATACTTCAAAATAAGACCCAGACCATAAATCCCTAACTGATGATGTTCACATAAAAAACAAATAAGACAAATTGTAATTAGTATAAATGGGTTGCCAACCCCTCAGGAAAACTGAATGTCTGCATATCTGAATATTAGGCAGTTACCCTGGTTCACACAAATAAAAAGTTTAATAACAACAATATAGGCAGTAATTACTTTACAAATCCAGATAGTATTCTGATAATCTTACAAATATTAAAGAGACAATTTATGAACATTCCTCAATCCAATTTCTCAGAGATGCTACATTGGCACTACTGTATATGCAAATCTTCCCTCTTTCATTTGGAACTGTACTATGAATTCACTTCTGCTTATCCCATTAATAACCTACTGAAATAACTGTCAGAATATATAAATTCTCTGGATACCATACAAGTGTCTCCTACTTCAAGAACTGACCCATGTCAAATGTGTAAGTCTTCCACATGAGATGTTTGATGAACTTGTTTGGACTGACAAAAAAAACCTGGCTTTTCTCTGGTGGTATGTCTATCTTTTCTTTTTCTAACTCAGAAATTTCATCTTAACATAGATGAGCTATAATTCATCTTAACTGTTAAAAAAGAAAGAAGCAAATATAAAGTCAGTTTATCAAACAGGGTTGATTTTACTAACATGATTAAATTAACCATAGTGAGGTTTTATGATTTGGACAAACTGATAAAAAAAAATTAATTTATAGTGCAGGTTTTTAGTAACTTGGCAGTTCTATAAGAGGGGAGAACAGGGAAGATTTACCTTGTTTTGCTAATTCATTTGAATGAAACCAATGAGATTCTCCTCTATAATATTAGAAATTAATTCTGTAAATAACAGATTTTCAGTAAATTAAAAATCTGAAATCTAACAAAAATCTGTTTCAACATGAAATAATCCCTCAAAATACAGAAGGCAGCTTCTCAGATATAATCAAGTCCTAAATTAATCATTTTATTTTTGGTTTCCATTCTGGTCACCTTCAAAAGATTATTTTAAGAAAACAATATTTTAAATCAGTTTGTTTTTTCTCTTATTTCTTTTTTTGGCATAATAACTTCAATAAAAGCATAAACTAGTAAATACAAAATGTATTAAAATGTACATAACAAATACTTAAAAAAAACAATTTAGCCGTTATAAGCTACCACACAATTAAATACAAGCTGTACAATACAATGCACGTTCAGATATACATCTATATTTGCTTTCAAATGTCTATAACTTAATTTTCCATTCACAAATAAAATGCAAAGCCTCTCTCTCTCTTTATATATACATATATTTTTATATCACTATATACACAATATATTGTGTTTTGGCAAGATCATACAAAACACAAAATTAATATAGATAAGAATCATTATAGTAAATACTAATTGAATGGCAATACCGTTTAAACCATATGAAAAGGACCCACAACGGTTCACACTTACTTTCTAATTCTTAACTCATTCATTATAATACTGACTGTACATTTCATAACATAAAGTACTCAGTGTTATCATACAGGTTCCATAAAAATAATAACTAAAAATTCAGGCAGAATACAGTACAACAATGTTAACACTGGAAAGTTTTTTTTAATGCTATTGCATTAGAACTTCAAATCCATCAAAACAGCCAGCAATTTCCAACAGCAAAAACACCAATAGGGAACATTATAGTTACACTGAAGAAAATTATTATAAAGATCTCATCCCATGGTTCACAGTTTTTGTAAGAATTTATAGTGGGAAATTTTGAACATTTTGAATAAATATTCTGAAAAAAGAATACAAAGCTTTAGAGCAGCCATGGTAATTCAAATTTGTAGTATGTCATAAAAACAATAGACTGTATTATAAAAGCCTTTACCCATTATAAAAAAAAAAATATTTTCAAAACCAAAACACTTTTGATTAATGACAGCATTGACCGATAGTTCAGTATTATTCAGACCATATTTTTGATTAATTTTTAATTAAAATCACAATATGAATACTGAACTTTATTAAACTTTAATTAAACTTTGAAAATATAAGAGTTAAGGAGGCTTAAAAAACATTGTTCACCCACATGAAATACACAAATGTTCCTATATTCACTGTGTCTTCACAGTAGAAACTAGATTTTATATAGCAAAAGCATATAATTTCCTAACTTTTTGTATGTATGAAAAACAGCAAGGAAAGATACATATGAGTAGAAAAACAGCAAGGGAGGCTATTAACTCCTTTGCCCAGTCATTTTCACACTCAAATTGCTTCTTTTCAGGTGTTCGTAATGAAAGATGCTGTATTTGAAAAGGAAACCAGCCTCGGTGGAAAGGATTAAGAATCTCATTTCCTAATAGAAGCCTAATCCCAATGCTACTGGAAGATTCATAATAATTTAATGCAACATTAATTGGAGCTTTGCAGAACAGAAGCCAATGCCTCTAAGGACTGCTACTGTTGATTGATCTCTGTGGGTCACAGTAACTTAATCTGCTCTTAGCTTCCTTTGGGCTCTACAGTGGTTCAGCTTCCCGTTTTATTATGCCATTTTGGAGGCAGTGATGGATATTTAGGCCAGCTCATTTTCAGCAATGTAGCACAAAATTACGTTTTGTGCCTAGGCTCCCAATTCACTAATCCATCAATTATTTCATGGCTAATAAGTAAATATGTTACCTTAGACTTTCATTTAAAAACACGTATTTATGAAATGGTTTATGTAAAATTAAATTCAAATAAATTTACATTTACTTTCTCAGTATATCAGCTCAAATACTTGCTTCTATTAACCAATATACTATCCAATCTCTGAGCAATATAAATTGTGTTCATATTTACAGGTTCAAGAGCTGTGGAATTCTAAGGATTGGTACTCTAGAGTGTGCCAAACAGTAACAATTGGTCTGTTTGATTAAATTTGTTTAAGTAGTAACTTAAATTGCTGAACTGAAAAAGTAATTTGATAAATTCAGTATTCTTGAAAAATGATGTTTTGAAGATATTTTTGTACCAATTAAAATACCATTAGACTGCTTTCTTTTCTAAAATGAATTCTGGCAGCAGACCTCTCATGAAATATTAAGACCTTTTTGTTAATGAGCTAAACACAGAAAACATTGCAAAGCTCTGTAAGAGTATTACTGATGGAAATTTAGATGACTTTTAAAAGTGTGCTTTTAGAGAAATTAATGCAGTTTTATTTACATTTCAATGACAAAGCAAACTATGAAAATATACCCCTACTGTTCAATTTTAACAGAATGGGCTTAAATCGCCAGTAGGAACATATGACTTTGGCACTTCCAAAATCTGGATACTTGGGTCTTTCTCCCCCCCCCCAGGAATGTATTAACTTGTTTATCTTTAGACAGAAATTAGCCTATTTCCTGTAGTACAATACAGTAAGTGACCTATGATTTATTAATGTAGACATGTCATAAAATCTATATTTAACATGCCAGCTACAGTTCAATGTGATATTGCAGCTTAGAGAAACTTGCAAATATTTTACTGCATTATACTGAGCTGGCTGCACAATTTCTTGAATGTATCATTTCTTTACCTTAGCAAAAATCATAGCAAAACTTAACATGCTCTAATAGCTCTCAGAACAGCGTTTTGCAGTCCTGAAGTTTTCCATGCTTAACTCACTTGCTCAGTTTTTGATTCTTCCAATTTATGAAATGTAGGTAGAATGATGCAGTATTAATTAGTAATATACTAAATCTGCTTGTTGTTTTAAAAATTAACTTATACATTTATCACAAACATCAAAATATGATGTTCTCATTTCTGGCAGTTTTGGTTTCTGTGGTGGGAGTTTTTTTTAGCTGCTATTCTTAAGTAACTTATTTTGTTTAAAACACTGTAAGGTTTAATAATATTCATGTGAATGGCACAAATACTGTTTCAAGAAACAAGTATACAGTATATTGCAAGAATGAGGGTGGGGGGAGAAGTGCTATAGCTATACTGAAATCTTAAAAAGAGTAAACCATTCATAGCTACATACCAATACTCGAGTCTTAATATAAAAAAGATACCATAAATGTAGAAGGTGTGACTGAAGTCAGAAGTTTCTCCAGAAGATTGTTAAAATATCACATTAAAAGAGACAAAGAACTTCAAGAAAATGTCTAAGAAAAGCAAGCTGTGATACAACAAGCATTTGTTAAGAAAAGCTCAGAAGTGCATTAGTTCTGGTGAGAGATATAGGAGCAACAGCTCTTACGAGATGTAGAGCCCATTCTGTAACTATGAGCTGTCCATATACTGTCATAGTCAGAGTCTTCAGAGAGGTCGGAAGGCTCCAAACGAGAAAGGCTACTGCGACGACCCAAGGAATCTAGACTGGATTGGTCATCATCAGCCAAGACGTGATTATGCATCAGGTCAGTGCCTTGCCATGCTAAGGATGTATGGGTGAAATGAAAGGGAGGATGGAGACAGGCATAGGTGTGATGAGGAGGAGGACATACAGGATAAGCCACAACCAAAACAGATGAAAATAAAAGCAAAAGGTGATGGGAAGAAAAGGAAAAGAGAAAATATTGTTAAAAAAGCACCAAACCTTTTAAATCTCTATTTTGGTTGGGTTTTATCTAGAAAATATATTTGGCACATACATTTAAAGACGAAAAAAGGGAACTCTCTGAATTTGACTCTCTTGCTTAGAATGTGCATTTGCTTTCATGTTGCTTTTAATGTTCTAAGAAACTATGACTTTAACATGAAGGGTTTTTTTTTAAGTGGTGGAAACTATTACATTAAGAATTTTTTTTAAAGTCTTTTGAATCGATTCTTAAAGTTGGGCTAGATGATATTTCCAGAAGAAAAAAAATATGCTCAAGAATGCTGTATGCATTTTCCCCAACTTGCAACTTCAGACATTGGGAATGTAATACATTTGGAGAATGTGCAGATTGAACAAAAATATACTACCTAGCCATATTTAGTACATTTAGTACATTTTCCTTTTAAATGCCAATTTTGATCATAGCTTTCTTCATACACCTGTATCTGGAATGATTCACTGGGGGGGGGGGACTGGAAGAATGTCCTTATGGAGAAGGAAATTAATGACTAGGAATTGTTAGCATTTTGCCATCCTACACAAAATTCCTATCAGAAATTACTATCACGAGTAACTTGTTTTTATAGAAATATTCCAGACCAGAAGCATGGGAGAAAAAATTTAACTGGTCCAGGAACTTTTAATTTAAAAAAGAGAATGTGCAAACATGAGAGAAACAATTCTCAAACTGAAAAATGCCAAGAGAAACTGAAAACTATTTATGCAAGTAGCTAATACTAATCAGCTTGATTTAGTGAAAGTAAAAACATAAGACGCTTGGGCCCAATTTGCATATACACTCAGTGTCCAAAACAGTTATACCCAGGCATTATCCACACAGTTGCAGCCTTTTAGTGACACTGATATAAATTCCCCAACAAAGAAGGTTTGCAGTAGTTAAAACTCTAAGTCATATGGGGAGATGTGCTCACTAAGTAGCTTACCACATAGAATTGCCTCATTCTCCTTAGGCTCTCAAGTCAGCTTTCCATAAGCTGCACATGTGAACAGGGTCATTTGAGACTGTCCTAAATGTCCCTTTCACTTCCATAGAAGATGGAGGGAGTTGGGCATAGGTGAAACAAAACCAGACAATTCACTGTGATATTTAGGACAAGCTACCACTGAGCTTAATGGAACTGGATTTTCTTACTGCTTTTCCAATCCTTTCAAAATTATATAAAGGCCTTTTCACATGATAATAGACTTATAGGCCTATAACTGAGATCCTGAAATCTTCTGTTCTATGAAGACACATTGTCCACATATAATGAAGGAAAAAGACCATTCTGTTTCAGGAGAAATAATATGGATATTAGCTACATACTCTATTTCTTTATAAAGTGAAATATATCAAAATCAAGAAGTGCAGGGCAGATTTATAGAAGGCAAAGAAACAAAGAACAAGAAAGCTGAAAACAATTCATAAAACAAGTAATAAGGTAGCCCCTACTGACTAGTTATACTTGGATGGATATCATCATGGTAGTTTAGGACTTTAGGCTTTTGGTTCTGAGATATTCAAAGCCACTTCAGAAGAAGGCAATGCACAACACTACTGTTGCCAGAAACAATTACATGGATGGATATGGAATGTCCATGTAACCGTAAGGAGTTGAGCTACACCTGCCCTCTACAGGATACTACTTAAGCTCTCCTGTGTTGGAGATCCAAAGCACAGGATACAAATAGATAATTAACATAAAAATCTTAAATATATAATAAACTAATCAAAGCACTTTAATCCAAAAAATGTAACATTTCTTTAAAAATAAGAGTGAGACTACTATCATGTGCAATCATATTCTATATGATAATTTTAATTGCAATGAATGGCATATTTCCCATGCAAAAGTATTTCTTTTGTCCCACCAAAAAGGTGAAACTCAGGAAAGATTACTATATATATGGACTGTGTTCAAAGAAGCAGAATATTCTCATCTTGTGAAAAGGCCCCTAGAAATACAATTATATGCAGAGGTTTAGGCATCATACTCAAATTGTATGACTCCTTAAAGCTGACACAACTCTCCATGGAACAAAATTAAAAATCTCTGCAAATTTGAATGTATATTTGCTATTCAAAGTAGAACAGTGAATATGACAGGTACAGAAGTTTGGATGTCTTTCCAGATATTTTTGTAACATGCCATTGGCAGAAATAACAGCTTTCAAATATTTCTGGTAACCTAATGTAGTATGTACAGTGATAGCTCAGCACTCGACTGCTTCAAAACTTGTTGAATTTGGTATTCAATGCATTTTGAAGCAGAAAACTTGTCCTGGCACTCATCTTTCTCCCAGTAGTTGACATGCAAGGAAGAACTTGCTGACATCAGCTGCCTCGTGACCAACTATTTCTTCTAAATTGTGGGTCACATGGTAAGTGGCTTTTCAGTAGTCGTTGCTTTTAGTATTCATCACATCTTTCAGAACAAATTATTGACAAGTACCAAGGTACCAATGTATAGTATTTAATAGGTAAAAATAGGTTGGATATAATTTAGCAAGACAATGCACCAAAACATACTGTTAGTCCTTAAAGGTAGGCCCGGTCAAGAAACAGGCATTGCAGGAATTACATAATGCTGCTTATTATTGTAAAGGACATAATCCAGAAAGCCAGCCAGATTTTCTTTCTGCCTTTTGTACCAAGCAGACTCAAGATAGGGTTGAGAGTTTCCTTCCTAGGCCACCTCCTTTTCCAGGGTTCAGTTTTGTCTTATTTTTCCTTAACTATTCCTGCATGTCTTCTTCAAGGTTATCTATGCATTCATCTACACCAAATCAACCAAGAAGCAGTCACAGGAAAGGAAGATAAATATTTATATACAGTAGTATGTCTTTAGTGAAAATCTTTGGGTAAATCTCAAGAACATTTTTGAGCTAGAGAACTTATGAAAGGAACAGTGAGAAGAAAGTCTTAAAGCATGAACAGAGAGATTATTAGCTGACTATACACATTTGAAAACTGACAGGAAGAGTGTACCATGTTTTGCATTTGCCATATTCACTTTTTTTCATTCTGAATTAATAAACAAGTACCCATAAATAGTACAGATACATTCAATTTCACAGAAAGATATCATTTACTTCTCACAGTAGAGTTACATGCATCAATTTCTGTTCCCTCAGGGATTCAGCGAATTATAGTTTCACCAGGTTACCTAAACTTTTGCGTACAACTTTGTTACCAAGTTAGAACAGAGATTTAAACAAGAAATAGATGAAAGGAAAGGAAAGCCAGCTGCTATTATTTTTCTCCAAATCTCCTCTCGCACAAGTTATTTTTCAAATAATGTTTCTCCATATGAAAATTTTAAAATATCTTCTGTCCTATTTCTTATGGTTCCTCCTGTTATGCTAAAGTTGCATTTCCCAGCAGCACCTCTAAAATGACAAAAGAATGGTGCTACTAGCAGAATTGCCAGATCTGCACTATGGGAACAGGCAGAATGTGAACATAGAGGTAGAGAGACACTAAAGGACACTGAAACATGATCTAATTTCCTGGACTCATAATGAATTTATTTACAATGTCCAATTTCTTAAAATACTGGTAATATTTAGGAATTATTAGATACAAACCAGCCAACCTTCCCAAAGTACAAGACCAACTCCACTTGCTTTTGTGAAGTTCTGTTAAATTGTATGGGGATAGATTTTAAAAATAATAATTTAAATAAAATCAGCAACCTTGAAAAAAGAAGCCGTGCAACAAATTACTATTATCATATTCATTGCAGAGAAACACAAATGAAAGCAGTAGATTTTTTGATGTATGCAATGAAATTTCTTGCACTATGTATACTTATAAAATATACATAGAAAGGGGAAAACAGCAAAAAGCATTTTGCACTAGTTTTGTGTCTCGGTAAGGACATATTTGCATGAACTAAAAAGAATATGCTCACATAAGACTTCTCTCACCTTATACATATTGGTATAAAAAATATATTTAAATGACAAGCACCAACTTAGCACAGTTGTACCATTTGAAGCATTACCAATTCATCCTATCCCACTTAGTTCAGTCATCTATAGAATCCTAATAACTTTCAGTTAATTGTAGGGTTAGTATCAAATTAAATGACAATGTCTGATTTAGAAGGGAATTATAAAAAGGCCCATACAAAAAGACATAAAAACTTCAATGACAATTTTATAGCAATAAAGTACCAATCATGCGTGCCTATGGTTCCATAACAATACAAAACTTTTTATTAAGGTTCTAGAAAAAAAAACACCCTCTCAGTAAAGCAAAAGTAATTCTAGAATAATTAACCCTATTATTAAAATTCAATTCACAGGACACACAAAAGAACTTTAACTGATGCTCTAAAAAACAGAGACAGTTTGTTAATTGTCAAATATTAGCACACAAATTATTGTCTACAATGCATATTGTCCAAAATCTAACCAAAATAAGCATTAGGGAGATTTACTGGACAAAAAATACCCATCAGTGTCTTTCTTCCTGTACAGACCGACTTTGACTATTCTGAAGAAAAAAATAGCCTTAGCTGTTGACTACTTTCATCATTAATGGCAAAACTGTGCAAACTGATTCAAATCAAGAAGAGTATTCCTTAAGTACATGTTATGCATGCGGGCAGATTGTCTGATTAAGTGCAATGGTTTACTTACAGCAGAGGATCTCCACCACTGCAGCCTTGTTTAAGATTAAAATAACCTGGGTCCCCAAGACACAGTGAAAGTTGAGCATCTGAGTAACTGAAAATAGCAGCTTTGCTCAATATACAAAATGTTAAAAAATATAGAATAAAAAGGTACTATTAATAACTATAATAAAAGCCATTTTTGATATAGATGGATTTTTCTATCATATGTTTCATTACCATTTTTGATAGAAACAACCACTGTAAGCCAGATTTTGGGGAACCCTGACTTACCATGAATGAGCCGAGTGTTAATTAATACAGTTGTTCACTCTCACCTGGCTGCTCCTACTAGTTTGAGCAGATAAAAAAATAAAAAATTGTTTGTTTAGCACAAAGCTTAGAGTTAAGACTTCTTTAAAAAATGAATAAAAGGCTGCACTGGTGGCAGATGAATCCTTAGAAGACAATTAGACACATATCTGTTATTCCTCATTTCTTATACAAACATAACCACAAGAACACATTCACTAATGCAATGCAGACAGAGCCTTATCCAAATTGTTGGTTCATCATTTCTAAGTGTAATGTTAAAACAACAAGCAGAAAGTGGGAGGGGGGCTCCTTGACCCTCCAGAGTGGTATCAAAACTATGTAACTTGAAGTCTGCTTTTCTGCCATTGAGCATGTTAACTAAACCTTGAACCTTGTGCTGTTATTTATACAAATCATAATTGTATGCTAGGGGTTGTTAATAGTTTAGAAATTCTAGCTTGCAGAGAATGTAAAAAAATCCAAGCCAAGTTTTCAAATTAGATAATAAAATTAAAGCATTTTTTAAATGTTCAGCAGGAAGACACTGGCTCACAGCTCATACATAGTAAGCCAACATTTCCCAGAATAGTGGTCTATCGTTCTTAAAGCAGAACTTAAAAAAACAACTTTTAAAATGTAAACCATATCAAATATTTAATATTTATTATTATAAGAGAGATTTGACTTAAGTAAATTAAAAACAACCAAATCAGTCAAGCAAGATTTATTCACTATGTATACTATTTGAAATCTTGCATGTGCCTAGCTAAGCAGCAACATGGCCAATTTTGAAAAACTAAGCAAGGCCATATCCAGTTAGTAGCTGGATGAAAAAACAGGAAAGACCCTAAAAGTAAAAAGTAAAATCCTGTAAGAAGGCAAAGGAAACCACTTTTCCATTACTGTTAAGAAAATTACATGAATAAGTCTAAGATTTGAATTTTACTTAATTTACTTAAATCTTGCTATAGTAAACATATATTTAGGGTTGGCAACTTCTGTGATGACATGGATATCATCCATGTTTGCTACTGTTAAATTAAGAATACATAATTATTATACACAAACATTAAATTAGAACAGAAATGTTCAGGGTGATGATTCTCACTTTTACAGAAAAAAAAAGACATATGTTCTCAGTAGAAACATTATCCATGCAGTATCAGGAGCTCTATTCATTTTCTGTGGGAGTGACCTCTTTTTAGTCCGGAGGAACTGCTCAATGTATTCCATGATGCAGTAAAGAGGTGAAAGAATGTCCTAGAAAAGCCTTCCCCCAATCTGTTGTCCTCCAAATTTACTGGATTCAGTTCACACTGCTAAAGCAGTGTCACTAACCATACTGCACAAACACTCATTCAACAAATCTGGAGAACACTAGATTAGAAGAAAATGCATGTAAAACACTGTCATTGCACAAGAACATGGTCTGAACTCTGGCTCATAGGATAAAGGGAAAGGCATGATATTGACAGTGGCATTCATTCAGCTGTCTCACAATAAAAATGGTGGTGTTTGTGAGCCGATGAAGAAAATGCGTACCTACCTTTTTGACTGTCAAGTAAAGAATGCCTCCAATTCTAAACCAAAAAGAAACTATGCCTTAGGTATTAAAATGTTTGCAAGAACATTTTTTAAAAATTAAAAAAGTAAACAACAAAGCCTAATGATCTTTCAGTAAGTACAACTGAAAGGCTTAATGAGATGGTGAATGCACTAAAATGAACATCTAAAACTAAATTGTTAGCATGTATTATTCAAGAAATTCAATAAGACATCATAGCAGTGTTGCCAACACATACATTTCTTATTGCTAAATCTGGGAATCACAAAAGCACTTCTAAAGGATCAAAGAATCAGTGAACATTGCAAATGCACATATACCCAAGTTCCTAATGAATTTATGTACTATTTTCATCACTTACATCTCACTTTTCAGACCATACAAACCAATGACATGAATAAAAAAAAAATAGCAATTACTTGCTAGATGGCTAAAATCATACTTTACATTTTTCTATTCATATTTTTTTTAAAAAAAACTTACTTGAGTTTAATGTTTGACGTGTTTTGGCACTTGTGCAATAAGCTTCAATGACTTTTAGAATCTGAGCATCTTCTTCTAAAGCAGCTGTACCTATAAAATACCCAAAACATATTAATTTAATACAATTATGCTGTATACTGACACTCAAATTAAACACTATGATTAACAATTTATAGGTAATCCATGTTTAACAACCATAATTGGGGATAGCCACTCTAGTACTAAGTGATGCAGTCAATGAGTGAAACATCATGTGATCCCAATTCACAATTTTACTGCTGGCTTCTCCACTGACTCTGCTTGTCAGAAGTTGGCTGTGAAATGAGCAAATGGCGATAACTTGATTGCAGGATGCTGCAATAATCACAAAGGCCCATTGGTAACAAAGGGCCCAAATTGCATGACCTCAGGGATGCTGCAATAGTTGTTAAGTGCAAGGATCAGTTATAAAGTTACTTTTTCACTCCCATCATAACTTTGAATGCTTTCTAAACAGGGCAGCTGATTACAAGGAGTACTTGTAATCGTAGGTGTTTCTGAAGTGTCTTATTGCAGTAATATGATAGGATTTTAGATTTGGCAATAGTACTTTTCTAGATCTTGAGATAGTAAACCGTTTTATAACTGCTTAATAGGTGAAGATATGAATTATCAATCTGCTGACACACATAGTTCAAGACAACCAGAAAATAAATTAGGGAAATTCAAATATCTATTGCTTCTCATTTTTTCAAATTGGGAAACTATGATTTAAGTTTTGGGGAAAATGATATTAAATTAAAATGCTATGTTATTCATTTTATTTTATTAAGTAATAACCATAAGATTCTTGGTAGTATAAATCATACATTGCAGAAAAGATTTTTAAAAATCCAGAGTAAAAGATAATCAGAAGTCAAATTACAATTGGCATACAATCTAAAAATAGAACACCTCACACAAAGAAAATTAAAGTAACATCATCTTAACTAAGTTTAGGATCACTTAGGAAGAGCAGTCTTAAACAGCTTCTGAAAAGCTGTAGGAACTGGGACAAGTCAAATTCCATAGTTTGGGCCCATTGATGAAAAAACATTCTTTAACTTCTGTCTTACTAATTTCATGGAAGCTAGGAATCCACAAATACAAATCCCATCTAGGGATTTGTACCTTAGGCTGATGCTAACTGAAAAAGCCTATTCTGAAGTATTTCAACATTAAGTCAGATAGTGATTTACTATTTGTAAACAGCACTGTAAATTGTTTCTGGAATCTTATTGGTGATCAGTCCAGGGCACATATCACAAGTCTAATGTACTCCTCAAAGCCATTGTCATTTGCAGGAAGACTGCTGCATTTTGTACTAAATGCAGCCCAGACTCACGAAGAACCTCTCCCAGTGGTTTTATTCAGGGCTTTTTTTGTCACAGAACGCCCAGAATGGAGTTCCAGCACCTTTTGGGGATGGAACCTTGTAGGATAGGCAAGGTGGGTTGTATGACGTGTCAGTTCCAGCACCTTTTTTTTTTATACAAAAAAAGCACTGGTTTTATTATAACCAAAAAGCTGAGGGGACAGAACTGAATTCTGTAATTGTGCTGCAAAAACACAGGCAGTATTTTCTTGAGATTTTACAGTAATTTTAAAATACACTTAACTCTATTTTCAGAAGTATGCAGCAACCTTCTCTTCTAATCTTTCTCAACTCTCTCCTTTTTAGTTTTAATTGGTATTTTAAAAAATTGATCCTTTTCCCAACCATGCTTTTTCCAAAAGGGTTAAATAAAATCAAACTATTCATTTTAGATATTCTGTATGGCATCGAACCTATTCCTATAATAACGAATAAAGCTTTTTAGAAGCTTTATTTGTTATTATAAGATACATAGTCGTATTACAAAACTTAATAAAACAAATAATTCAAATGTATTAGATTACCATGATGTATAGTGCACAAAAAAGAACTGCAGTTTTGTCTCATCCCTCCAGAATATACTTACTTTTTCTCAGAGCAAATTCTTCTTCTGATGGTTTCCGTTCTGGTTTTCGCTTGGGCAACAGTTTTTTCATGGTTTTAGGGCTTTTGCTGAGATCCTGTTTGGATTTTTTTTTAAATAGTATATAATGTACATAACTGACATTTATTTGTAAAATTTCAAAACATTAAGACATGTCAATGAAACAATGATTTATTATTATAAATTCTGCTTTTCAAGCTATGTCCTATAAACTCATTATAAGGTGTGTCTGTGTGTGTGTGTTCAGTAGTTAGCAAAAACAGACACATATGTAAGGAAACTCTTAAACAGAAGCTGAAAATAGCAGTTTGTCAAAGGGAAAATAAATTTATTTACAGTCCAAGACCAGCCATATAAAGCACATTAAGTACCATAAATAAAAAGATTACGGAAGCCAGAAACAGTAAAAACACTACCCAGAGTCAGTAGGTGAGTTTGGCAAATTTGTTTAATAAATAAATAAATAATATAAAAAAGTTATGGAAGAAGCCTAAAAGAGTTTGGGGAGGAGGACACCAAATGACCTCTGTAGGCTATAGCTACTGAAAGACCAGTTGCAGCTTTCCTGGGGGTACATGGAAATTGATTACACAAAGGTAAATAGTACCCAAAGGTGATTCTAAGAATGAATAAATGTTCTGACAACTGGTATTATAAAAACTGTCTGTCTTTGAGTGTACAATGGGCAGTTAACAATATATGTAATATAGATTCCACTTCTGCTTCAGAATATATGCAAGTTTTCATAAGGGAGGCTGACGTAGATGTGGCAAAAAAAGTATTGGTACACATCCACTTTTCCCTAAACAATCCCAATTTGCCATGAGATAAGTTGAAACTGACTTAAGTAAGTGGTATCCAACTTTATTTTATAGTCCATACAGCAGAATAAAAAATAAAGGACTGCAGCTAATTTTACTGGACATAGCCACAAGAGGAAAACTAACCCCAAATTCTACAAAACGACAATATGAATGGGAGAGAAAGAAACAAGGAAAACCTCTGAACAAATCCTGGCTGACTTCCAAAATCAAAGTACAACACCAAAGGTACAACAATATCAAGCCACGCCATCCATTACTATCTGCCTGGAAGCGGTCTCCATGGTAAAAGATGCAAGCAGACTCCATTTCTGAAAACTAGATTTGAGTTTGTTAAAATACATATTCACAAGTCTCAATCCTTCTGGGAGAATATCCTTTGGACAAATGAAAACAAAATCAGAGCTTTTTTGTTAAGTCACACTACTCTATGTTCACAGAAGAAAAAAAATAATACTTTTTTTTAAAAAAACCACCCTCCTTATACTATCCTTACTGGAGCCACGTAAGAGATTATGGGGTTTCTCTCTGCCTCCTGCACTGGGTACCTTGAATCTGTCCAAGGCACAATGAAATCAGATTATTAAGGCATTCTGGAGTGAAATATAATGCCGAGTCTTCTCAATCACAAGTCATGGGTTCTATAACAAGGACAGTGACCCAAAACATATATTTAATTAAACTTAAGAGTAGCTGAAAAGCAAACAACAGACTTTTCTGAAGTACTTGCTAGGAGTCCTGACCTGCAATAAAACATATATGGAAGAGTTGAAACTCAAGAGTTGGGAGAAAGAACCCCTCAAAGCTAACACAACTAGAACAGTTTGCTCAAAAAAAGTGTGACATATTGCCAATTAAGAAGTCTTATTCAGAAAGTACTTGATTGTAGTTACTGACTCAAAAGGATATGCCACGAAATACTGTATTAGATTAGTGGACATGGCCACACCTTTATATTTGCCCATTGTCGCCTACTGAGTATCTGAGACATGAGTAGCATGTCAACTAGAGCCAGGGAGTAAACTTTCATTTGTAAGTCATATATGTTGAAAATGTATCAAATGATAGTCTAGGAAGAGGGGAACATTTCACTGTAATGAGCATGAGCAATTCTAGCCCTATCAGTTTGAATGTCTTAATCCCAAGCCCACTGTTTAAAACCAGCTAAAGCTTTAGTAAATATGAGGAGAGTTTCTGTCAGAATAAGAAAGATATACTATGCCAGACCATGATTAGTTTATCTCTTCAGGGAGGAGACAAGACAACCTAGTATAGTAAGATAGATCAAGAAAATTGAAGAATTTGCTTCCATCACAATTCAAGATGTTTTAGATGAGCTCCAAAGAAAATACAGCTCAATTCTAACCATATGAAATCATTAAGAGATCCATTTGACAGCTTTTAAGAATTTTGGTTGGATGAAGCTTGAGGTACCCTTGTGGATGCAAAACTGAATATGATATAGCATCAAACTCAAAACTTTAGTTTTAAATAATTTAACTGCTGCTAGGACATAATTATAACCATATAGGCTTCATTATTGCATGTACATTACTTACTAAAAACATAAAACACCAATGATTCTCTGCTGATCACACTATTCTTAGGACCATGGCATTCAGAACGAAAATTCTCCTGTCAAAATCATACCCAGCTCTTCATAATTATACCTGACTTGATGTTGGATGACGACTAGTTCAAAAGTTTTGTAAAGTTGCAAAGAATGTACATGGACAGAATTAAAAACAAGCAAGTTCTTTCATGGGATATTCATTCTCACCTCTTTATAACAGAGTGCTGCTGAAGGCCTTAATGGAGGTGCAGGTCGTAAACAGCTCAAACTCCATGGCTTAGGAGTTTTAGGAGGCTCCAGTGGTCCCCAGTTTATAGTGGTATGAGGTGTCCCATGATGTGAAGGGTGTGGAAGGGTATGATAGACAGGAGTCATCGGCATTTGCTTGCTATCTGCATGCTTGCTAGAAGGTGTTACAGGATGAGATGGAAGCTGCCATTTGAACAACAGAGTCAGAAAGGACCAAAAAATGAATACAATGAATATCATCTGATTATGGATTTTGGCACTGTTCCAATAAACAATTACTCTGCTTTATTTATGCTAAACTAGTAAGTAAAAGGTAAAGGACTTCCTGTGGATTTTACTCCGCTAATTGTTGCTGACTATAGGGAGTGGTGCTCATCTCTATTTCAAGGCCATTCTGCGATCAGTGGCCAACATGACATCACAGGGCACTGTTACTTTCCCACCGAAGTGATACCTATTTATCTACTTACGTTTGTATGCTGTTGAACTGTTAGGCTGACAGGAGCTAGGGCGAGGATGGGAGCTCACTTCATCATGTGGCACTCGGATCTTGAACCCAGGCTGCCAACTTTCCAGCTGACAAGCCCTGTGTCTTAACCATTAAGCTATCATGCCACCCTGCTAAACTAGTTATTAATATTAAATATGCAGCGGGAACATTCAATTGCTGTATGTACTGGAATTTATGTTTCCTTCAACTCTGTTGTATACAAATACTAACAAGTTAACTTAATAATACAAATGAGTCAGTATATTGACCCATGTATATTCAGTGGGGCAAAAAAGTATTTAGTCAGCCACCAATTGTGCAAGTTCTCCCACTTAAAAAGATGAGAGAGGCCTGTAATTGTCATCATAGGAGACCTCAACTATGAGAGACAAACTGAGAAAACAAATCCAGACAATCACATTGTCTGATTTGGAAAGAATTTATTTGCAAATTATGGTGGAAAATAAGTATTTGGTCAATATCAAAAGTTTATCTCAATACTTTGTTATATAACCTTTGTTGGCAATGACAGAGGTCAAACGTTTTCTGTAAGTCTTCACAAGATTGGCACACACTGTTGCTGGTATGTTGGCCCATTCCTCCTTGCAGATCTCCTCTAGAGCAGTGATGTTTTGGGGCTGTCGCTGGGTAACACGGACTTTCAATTCCCTCCAAAGGTTTCTATGGGGTTGAGATCTGGAGACTGGCAAGGCCACTCCAGGACCTTGAAATGCTTCTTACGAAGCCACTCCTTCGTTGCCCAAGCGGTGTGTTTGGGATCACTGTCATGCTGAAAGACCCAGCCACGTTTCATCTTCAATGCCCTTGCAGATGGAAGGAGGTTTGCACTCAAAATCTCACGATACATGGCCCCATTCATTCTTTCCTGTACACTGATCAGTTGTCCTGGTCCCTTTGCAGAGAAACAGCCCCAAAGCATGATGTTGCCACCCCCATGCTTCACAGCAGGTATGGTGTTCTTTGGATGCAACTCAGTATTCTCTCTCCTCCAAACACGACGAGTTGTGTTTCTACCAAACAGTTCTACTTTGGTTTCATCTGACCATATGACATTCTCCCAATCCTCTTCTGGATCATCCAAATGCTCTCTAGCAAACTTCAGATGGGCCCGGACATGTACTGGCTTAAGCAGGGGGACACGTCTGGCACTGCAGGATCTGAGTCCCTGGCAGTGTAGTGTGTTACTGATGGTTGCCTTTGTTACGCTGGTCCCAGCTCTCTGCAGGACATTCACTAGGTCCCCCCGTGTGGTTCTGGGATTTTTGCTCACCGTTCTTGTGATCGTGTTGACCCCACGGGGTGAGATCTTGCGTGGAGCCCCAGATCGAGGGAGATTATCAGTGGTCTTGTATGTCTTCCATTTTCTAATTATTGCTCCCACAGTTGATTTTTTCACACCAAGCTGCTTGCCTATTGCAGATTCAGTCTTCCCAGCCTGGTGTAGGTCTACAATTTTGTTTCTGGTGTTCTTCGGCAGCTCTTTGGTCTTCACCATAGTGGAGTTTGGAGTGTGACTGTTTGAGGTTGTGGACAGGTGTCTTTTATACTGATAACAAGTTCAAACAGGTGCCATTAATACTGATAATGAGTGGAGGACAGAGGAGCCTCTTAAAGAAGAAGTTACAGGTCTGTGAGAGCCAGAAAACTTGCTTGTTTATAGGTGACCAAATACTTATATTTTCCACCATAATTTGCAAATAAATTCTTTCCAAATCAGACAATGTGATTGTCTGGATTTGTTTTCTCAGTTTGTCTCTCATAGTTGAGGTCTACCTATGATGACAATTACAGGCCTCTCTCATCTTTTTAAGTGGGAGAACTTGCACAATTGGTGGCTGACTAAATACTTTTTTGCCCCACTGTATTACTGGAACTTTGTAGATCAAGCAAATAATATATTTCCTTTCCATTGAGTATTACTAGGTTCACAAAATGATAATAAGGAAAATAAACATTCATTTTTTTCCTGGGCCTGGATGTCTGAAGATACCAGCAAACCAGCAAGAGATTCAGTTACATTTGACACAATGCTTCCTTACATAAATAATTCACAATCAAAAATCATTTCACCAATTATTTATTCAATTTAAAATTCTACTGCTAAAAGCTCACTAATTTTATCACTGCAATTTAATTATCAGCCTGTGTCAAGCTATAGTTTTAGTTATAATATAAATATGTTTTCTTCAGTAGCTCCTTCATAATGGATTGGGCCTCTTTAATTTATAAGTAGTGGACTAAAGGCAGAGGTCCTCTTACCGTATGAGAAGGAACAGAATGTGGTTTAATTGCAGGAGTTCCAACAGTTGTTACTTTGGTTTGTTTCTGCAGATGATCTACCCACTCATGCAAATCTTGTTGATTATTACAAGATACCAATATCCGCTCTATCATATTGCCTAGAACCAAATAGAACATGCTGAACAAAAAAAGTAAAAGAAATAACTACCATTTAAAAGTGTATAATGCTGAATTGCTGTATAAATTATAGCAAATACCCATCTATCAATTCTTTTATACCTATGCAATACATTAAGTGTCTTTTCCACATTATAGTACAAGAATTTATTATAACCATAGTACCAAATTTGTGTTCCTGCTTCCAAGAACTCTTAATATACCGTAAATGCCGGCATATAAGACGACTTCCACGAGTGCTGAAATCGGCGCCAAAGACGGGGGTCGTCTTATACGCCGGAAATACTGGTAGTTTCCGGCGTATAAGACGATGTTCTAGGAATGCGGCCCGGCTATAAAGACAGGGGTCGTCTTATACGCCGGGTCACCTAATACGCCGGCATATACGGTATGTAATATCTGGCTTTAAGATTTGTCAGAAGGTTAAAAGTGCAAATTGATGCCTGGAACATATATCTTTGATGGGGATTGCTTTATTGACAACTACTTGACCTTTAAGATGATGGCCATTTTTTATATTCACCAGTACATCTTGGAAAAATAGTAGTTGCTCAATTTGGTAATCTGCAGAAAACTGACTGGTTGCCAGTATATTTCCAAATACAGGTCAAAGTTTTTTCTTCTAAAATCCTGAAAAACTCAAACGATACTTACTCCTATAATACATGATCAACTGAGAAAGTTATGTTTCAAAGGCTACTGTTAGGCCATTAATGATTTGAGAAGAGTATTTCCTACAATGTTCTAATTTCTTCAATGTTTTTATAATTTATCTTTCTCTAAGCCTACTAATTAAGTGGAGTTTAGTCTAGCTCTTGATAATGTAGTTTTATTGGTTTTAGATTAGTTTACACTTTTTCCTAGAATACTATTTAGTTGTAATGAAACATATCTTTAATTCATTTAAATTAAATAATTTTTAAGTGGGATGATGCAAAACTAAAGAGAGCACTTATACTATCTTGCTGCTGACTTGGCAGACTTCCAACAGCCTTTCTTCTGCCTGCAGAAACTGTCCAGTTACAACACCCATGTACACCAGCCTGTCAGACCAGTAGACATGCTTCCTGCAGATTATGGAATTGGAAAATTGGAGAAAACGAAGATGGAGAACGCTAGTTTAGAAAATGAGTAGGTGCCAATTCTAGTAACATTGTTTGCTGCATATTCACAAAAAAAGCCCAGAATGAAAAAAAAATTACCTGATATTTCAAATGCATTTCTGTGATTTTCACTGTCTTCTAGTTTTGTGATGGTCATCCCTGTTAATGGAAGCTTTCCCTAAAAGCAAATGCACCATTGTTATTTCAAATAATTCATCAAATATTATTGAATAATAAAACATACAATGGAAATGTTATTATAATTGAAATTAAAACATATACATTCTGATATTAAAGAAAGTTCTAGATGCCTAGACTTTACTTATGTTTTACTTATATATTTATTTATCTAAAAAAACTTTACTTGCAAAAATGCCATAGCAGGATCTTCGTTAAATGATACAAATGGTTCTACAGTTGGAAATAATAGTTTAGGTCCACATATAATTATATCTGAGTTATGTCCATTGAGGTAAATCTTAAGTCACAAGAGCAAAATTTACATGTAGTTTAAGTGTTCCTTCCTCTTTCCTGCTCCACCCTCTTCATTCCCATGAACTGTCCCACACATGGTTGAAATCTGTTCTGAAAAAAATTGAGATGTAAAGCAAGGCTTTTCAACCGGTGGTACACGTACCACCTATGGTACTTTGACATATGGCAGGTGGTACGCGGCCGTCCTAAAGAAGTGTAGCAGGGTAGGGGAATGAGGTGAAGTGACCCAAGCCTGAGGGAGAGGCAGCTGGAGCTGCAGGACTGTCGGGGTTCAGCAGAAGCCCCAGGAGCACCAGCATGGCTCCAGCTGATTGGCGCTTCCGGAAGCAGCACAAAACTGGAGGTGAACTGAAGAAAAAGGGGGGGGGGGAAGGATATAAAAGGAGGTGGTTTGGGCAGAAAAGGGGGGGAAAGACAACAGAGAAAGAGAAGAGGATGGAGAAGAAGCTGTGGAAGGAGAACTCAGTAGGAAGGGAGGAAACAGGAACAGGGAAGAAGCAGCAGCTGTTGCTGGAAGAAAAGGTCCCCTGGTTCATTTTCTCTAGCCGGGAGAATGAAATCAGCGCTGATGAAATGAAAAGCCAGGAGACAAGCATGTCGGAAAGGAGGTGGGTTTATTTCAGAAGCCAGTGGGTTCCTGATCAGCTGGCAGCTTGAATGGATTACCATAAGGATTTTTGTACAGTTTTTACAGCATTTTGTAATTCAGAGGCTTGGTTTGTGTGCTTTGGTTATTGGAATATTTTAGTCTGTTTCACAAAGGCCAGCAATGAGTCCACAGTGTTGGCTTTCATAGGTTTAATTCCTTTACGTTTAAACAAATGTAATCAGTTTTACCCCCTTATCTTGAGTCTGTCTATGGCTTTTAGCAAGTTTTCTTTGTAGGTAAACAGGCTTAATTTAAGGTTATCGCTTTTTGCAACTGCCAAGCCTTTGCTACATTGTTTAAACTGAGACATGTCTGAATCAGCTTAAAAGAAAAGAAAAGAAATCCAGAGTTTAGTGTTTCTTTATTCTGGGAGGCTTTTGTGAGTCTTTCTTGCTTTGTGCTTGATTCCTGTGTCTTTAAAGGTATAGTGAAGGGACTGGGGGGGTGCATTCTTACTACACTGTGGAAGAGAGCTCAGAAGGCAGAGAGGAAGAAGAGGAAAGGGAGAGAGGAAGAAGGGCCGACTTGCTAGCTCAGGGGTCTACAAACTTAGCAACTTTAAGACTTGTGGACTTCAACTCCCAGAATTTCTCAACCAGCCATGATGCCTTAGAAATTCTGGGAGCTGAAGTCCACAAGTCTTAAAGTGCCAAGTTTAAAGACCCCTGAGCTAGCTAGTAGTGGTGCATATTAATAACATGGATAAATTCATTATACATTTGTCAGTGCAAAGGGAAAGTGATTCAGCAAAAGAACAGCCACTGAAGATTTTAAAACCGGTACTTTTTTACTTTTGTCTACAGTTTATAACATGTTATTAGATTATAGAATAAAATACAAAAATACAAAAGCAAATATTAGGATACAATGGGGAGGAAAAAAGGGGAAAAAATGAGGGGGAGAAGGGAAAAAGAACAGACTTCCTCTGTTGCAGTAGAAGGAAGCATTAATATTGAACCTCAACTTTTTACTTTTCCATAATATTATAAACTAGCCATTTCTATAACAACAAATTAATCTAATCAGTTAAACCCCAAAGCCCCCCTTTTTTTAGTCATCAAGTTTTTGATACCTTGCTAAGCACTGGTGGTACTCAAATATTGTCATGTCCTAAAAGTGGTACAATCTGTGAAAAGGTTGAAAAGCCCTGATTTAAAGAATGCATGGAGAGGAGAAAACTAATAGTGTCCTGACTCTCAATTAATGGACACAACTGGTAGCTTATTGAAAATTACCATCACCATTATCTTGGCCGATTTCATCTCATTCCCCATTCTCTTTAAGCATAACTATGCCTGCAATTCAATTTAATTCATGGTTGGTTTCTCTCTAAGTAATAGAGGTGTATATATTGGGATAAGCAGCAGAGAGATGGTCAGAAGAGCCAAGCTGAGGGCGGGGAATAGTTTTGAACACATTCTTGATGTTAGAATAAGCAAAATGTATTCCCACCTTTGGTTGCAAAAGTATGTGTGAGTTGGAACTAATATTTCTAACACCTTGTTCTTGAGCACGTTCCTTAGGGCTCTGTCCTAAGTCTGCTGTTGTTCACCCTGCTGATCCGTGACTGTTGTGCAAGGTTTGCTATCAACCATATTGTGAAGTATGCAGATGATGCAATAGTAGGCCTTATTCAGGATGATAATGAGGGTGATTACCGGGAGGAGGTAGAGGGTTTGATGAACTACTATAACAACAGCCTGGTTTTAAATGTAGGAAAAACAAGAGAGATCAATGTTGATTTCAGAAAAAGTAGGCACAGCCATACACCTCTGTGTATTAACGATTCAACTGTGGAGGGATTAATAATATCAAGTTTCTGGGTCTGCAACTGATGAGGTTAGCTTGGTCGCTCAACAGTGAGACACTGGTGAAGTGGGCATAGCAGCCCCTGCATTTTCTGCATCATATGAGAAGAGCACATCTTCTTTCCCCTGTCCTTACCACTTTCTATAGAGTGATGATTGTCATATTGTATTACTGTATGGTTTGGAAGCATTATTGTTTCAGACAGGAAGGCTATGCAAAGAGTGGTGCGGATGGCAGAAAAGATTATTGAAAGTTCCTTCTATCCAGGATGTAGTATATAAGTGCTGCTTGACCAGGGTCCACAGTATTGTCGGGGATACTACACATTCTCTCCATGACTCTTCGTTACCTTCTGGGAAGAGGCTTCATTGTATCCGAAGCAGAACAACTAGATTCTGTAATAGCTTTGTATCATATAGTATCAACCTTGTTAACTTTCAAGATTTTTTTCTGCTATGTATTCAAAATGGACTGTGATTAATATATGTGTGTGTGTGTGGGTGTGTGTGTGTCTATGTGTGTGTGTGTGTGTGTGTGTATGTATATATACACACACACACACACACACACAGGACGTACATGTGTGTACATGTATGTGTATGGGTATATGTATATTTTCTTTTGAGAGCAGGCATTAGAATTTCATTTTTTAATATGTGCCAGTGTGTTTACAGAAAAAAGTGACAATAAAGCTTACCTTACTTTATCTTACCTTACCTTGTCCTGTCCTGTCCTATCCTATCCTACCCTATCTTATCCTATCCTAATTCAAATGTATCACAGAGACTAAAATTGTACTGAAGCTTCTATTACCTGGTAGATAAACCCACTCATCCTTGGGCTGGCAGACAACATCAGCAAAATGTTAGGGAAGAGAAGAAGGTATCTTTCATTTTTTTCCTTATTAGAAAGAAGAAAAACCAGTAACATATGAAGGTCAGATTAAATGGAAAGGTTAAATAAAATGCAGATAAACAAATGAGATGGCAATCACAATATTTCTCAAATTATCATTATTAAACCAGCACCACATTAGACATCTTTAGAACAAAAGAGGCTAAGAGATTTTTAGAACAAACTCCCTACAGAGAATGTAACCTTATTTGGAAGAAAAGCAAAACTCTTGTCTCAGACAGAGAACTACTGATTTTTTAATAAAAGAAAATGACTTCTACCACTGTTACGATACAATGTTATTTCTAGAAGACTTTATTCCTCTAGTAAATGTGAAATTAAAAGTATTGTTTAATTGCATAAATAGGACAAAAAGATGACACATTTTTAAAAAATACACTCAAAAAGATTTCAAGTAATGTTTTGAAGGGGCAAATGTGTTGTGTTGCCCGTTCTCTCTAGATTAACTGATTGAGTATATTTTTAAGGCCACCCTTAATGACTCTGAATGGCTCAGAAGAATTAAAAACAGTAAAAACAATTCTGGTAGTAGTATAAGCAAAACCTGCCATACCTCACTGCCAGCACACTGAATCATGACTTGTGACATGTAAATTACATTTCCTAATGTTTTAATGTCTTCTCCTTCCCAGCACCGGATGGCTTCAGTTAATATCTGGAGTTCAAGTTCTTTTCTTTTCCGTACTTCTTGGCACTGTGCCTATACGGCCAGAATAAAATATCACATGTCATAAAACTGGACTGAATAGTTATTTTAGTACAGGTAGTCCTTGACTTACGACCATTTTTTAAAATTATTATCTTGAAAATTCCATTTCTGTATTATATTAGAGTATTAGAATATAAAAATCATCACATTCACAATAATCTTATCAGAATATAATCATATATAATCATATATAATCATAAGAAGTAGCAATCATATTGTTAAAAATAGTATTTCCCACAATAACATTAACTGTATAACAATCAAAATATTTACTAATTCGTTATGAATCTTCCTCCCGTAAACCACATTTTCTCATATTTCCAACCTCTGTTTTTATCAGCTAACCATTAGTAAAATAAGTCCCATGTCATATAGTATTCAGTTTCTTCTTTTTCTTTAATCTTTAACATTAACCTATCCATTTCTGCACATTCCAGTATTTTTTTAATTATATTCTCCTCTATAGGGATTTCTTCATTTTTCCAAAATTGTGCATATACTATTCTAGCTGCTGTTAATATATGTAAAACTAAGTAAGTATCACCTTTATTATAGTTCCCTGGTAACATGCCCAATAAGAATATCTCTGGTTTTAAATCTATATGTTGTTTTATCATTGCTTCCAACCATAGGTGTATTTTATTCCAATTTTTTTTCCTTTGGGACATGTCCACCACATGTGATAATAGAAACCTGATATTTGATTACATTTCCAACATTTAACAGATTTATTTTACATATTCTCTAATCTTGCAGGTGAAATGTGTCATCTGTAGAACATTTTATAAAGATTTTCTTTGTACACTGTTGACATTGTAAGTTTATAGTTTCTGTCCCACAGTTCTGCCATTTATCTAATTCTATTGTATAGCCAAACTTCTTAGCCAATATTACCATTGTCTCCTTTACTTGTTCTTCTTTCAATTTAGTACTTAATAAATAATTGTATATCCTTTTAATTAATTTCTCATCTAATCCCATTAGAATCTGATCCAATTCAGTTGGTTCTTTATAAAAACCATATATCTTCCTGTCTTTTTCATATCTGGATTGTATCTGTAACTGTGGCCACCATGATAGGGCAATCCCTACTCTATTAAGTTCCTGTTTAGTTTTAAGTTCCCCCTTTTCATTTAATATATCACTGTATCTTATAATTTTTCCATATTAATTACATTCAGATGTATTAACGCCTCCATTGTAGATAACCAAACTGGTATTTTTAAATATTGTTGTTCTTTAATTTTTGTCCATACTAGCAGTAATGCATTCCTGATATAATGTCTTTGGAAGTAGCTATGTATCTCACTCTTCCCATACCATAAAAACACGTGCCATCTCAATTGAAGATTATGTCCCTCCAGCGTCAACAATCTTATGTTCCTCAGATTAATCCATTCTTTCAGCCATGTGAGTACCAATGCTTGATAACATAGCTCCCAATCTGGAAGGCCAAAGCCTCCTCTATTTCTGGCATCTTGTAACATTTTTACATTTATTCTCGCTTTTTTGCCTTGCCATATAAATTTTAATATCATTTTATTTAATTCTTCAAAGTATTTTTTCTAGTCTTATTGGAATTGTCTAAAACAAGTACAGTAATCTTGGCAAAATATTCATTTTAATTGTAGCTATCCTACCCAACAAGAACAGTTGTAAGTTTTTCTAATTTCCAAATATACTTTAATTTGCGCTTTCAATTTATCATAGTTGTCTTCTTTGATAGTTACACATTTTGCTGTTAATTGAACTCCTAGATATTTAACTTTCTTTGCAATCTGCATATCCATCATTTCTGCAAATTCTCTTTTCTGTTTATCCGTAAAGTTTTTAAGTAATATTTTAGTTTTTCTTTGTTTATTTTCAATCTTGCAACTGCTCTGTATTCTTCTATTTTCTCAATTAGTTTAGGTCAATTAGTTTATGATCATAATTGAGACCAAAATTTCTGTTATTAAATGAGCTTTGCCCTGTTTTATGACCTTTTTGCCACAGTTATTAAATAAATCATCACAATTGCTAAGTTAGTAACAAAGTTGTTAAGTTAATCTGACTTCCCCATTAATTTTGCTTGCCAGAAGATCGCAAAAGGTTATCAAATGACCCTAGAACACTGCAACCATCATAAAATATGAGTCAATTTCTGTCTGAATTTTTATCATGTGACCATGGGGGTACTATAATGGTCATAGGTGTGAAAAACAGTCATAAGTCACTTTTTTCAGTGCTGTTGTAAGTTCAAACAGTCACTAAACAAACTGTTGCAAGTTGAGAACTACCTGTAATGTCTTTGGACTTCTCCCCAGTCCCCAAATTAAAAAGGGAATGAAAACTGGAAGCCTCTGGGAAAGCAACTCTTTCTATTTCCATTTTAACAGAGTTCTAACTCCTGCCAAAAAGGTTTTTATAAAAGAAATTAATCAGGGAAACCTGAATCTAAGAGACTTCAGGGGTAAGTAACTGCAATGTAAGTCTGTGTGTTGTACAACAAAAAAAAACGAAAGATGAAGACATAACCTCTGACAAAGACTATTAAAAATATGGAATCTTGTTTTCAAAATGTTGTTAAAAATGTTAAAATGTAGAAGTATAATTCATCGTATTCACATATGTCATATTTCTAGTGCTGTCATTGTGCCAAATCAATATTATTACAGATAGTCCTTGACTTACAACCATTCGTTTAGTGACCAATGTTATAGTGCAAGGCTTTTCAACCAGTGGTACGGGTACCACCTGTGGTACATTGGCACCTGGCAGGTGGTATGCGACCATCCTAGAAAAGTGGTAGCGGGGGAGGGGAACGAGCTGAACCAGGGGCAGCACCGCACAAGCCTGAGCTAGAGATGCCTGGAGCTGTAGGGCTGTCAGGACTCAGCAGAAGCACCAGGATCACCACTTTTTTGGGGCTGTCAGGGCTCAGTGGAAGCGCCTGTATAAGTGCCAGGCTCCAGCTGGAGCTTGGCGCTGATCCTGGCGCTTCTGCTGAGCCCTGAAGAAGCACCAATCAGCTGGAAAGCAGCACTGATCCTGGTGCTTCTGCTGAGTCCAGAAGAAGCGCCATCAGCTGGAATATTGCAGCATCTCCACGGTCTTATGATTTATATTCAGATGCTTGGCAACCGATTCATATTTATGATGGTCACAGTGTCCCAGGGTCATGTGAAGTGACCAAACCTGCTGCAATGACCCAGCAGACAGGGGGAATAAAAACCAAACACCCCCCACCCCACCTCTGCTGCCAATCCTCAACAGAAATGTCACAACAATGAAAACCTCAGATAGGAGGAAGAGCGCCACCGGGTGGGCAGGCAGGTGTCTTGCTCAGCTGTGGCTTGGGGGCACTTTTTTCAGTGCCATTATAACTTTGAACAGTCACTAAGCAAACTGTTGTAAGTCAAGGACTACCTGTACTTTATCACTTTTTTCCTTTTTTTTTTTTTTTTTTGGTCATCAAGTTTTTGACACCTTGCTAGGCGACTGGTGGTACTCGGATATTGCCATATCCTAAAAGTGGTACAATGGGTGAAAAGGTTGAAAAGCCCTGTTATAGTGACACTGAAAAAAGTGACTTACAACTGATACTTGCACTTACAACTGTTGCAGCATCCCTATGACCATGTGATCATGATCATGGCAACTGGCATATATTTATGATGGTTGCAGCTACCCAAAGTCATGTGATTTGTGACCTTCCCAGTTGGCTTCCAACAAGCAAAGTCAATGGGGGAAGCTAGATTTGTTTAACCACCATGTGACTCACTTAACAACTGCAGTGATTTAACAACTGGAATAATAAACAACTATTAAATTGGGTGTGACTCACTTAATTACCACCTTGCTTAACAACCAAAAGCCTGGTCCCAATTGTGGTCATAAGGCTAGGACTTCCTGTAATGGAAGTGTCCATGTTTTATTTCTCCATGGAAACGATTTGCTAACTTTCCTCTTTGCTACCACTCCAAAGAAAATGGTCTTCAAAGGGTACTGCTCTATTTTTTTAGTTCTACAAGTTACTTACAGAAAGATTTTTGAAAGCTGTCATGGATTTCTGAATGTCTGGTCGGTCAGGATGATAATCCTAAAAATAAAAATTCAAAGGGAAATCGTTTTTCAGCTTGTTTTGGAATTAATGTCATTTCTGTTAATAGTGGATTAAACACTTAAGAAACTTTCCTCTTAACTACTTTGATTTAAGCAACTAATCTTTAAATAAGATCATGCCAGCAAGGAATAAATAATTTTGCAAGAAAGTTTTTGCTTGATAGGAACCAATTTTATGAATGTTGTCTTTTCCTATATAAATACTATTTAGACTACTCTTTTTAGAACAGAAAATAAAACCTAGGCACTGTCAGTTTTTCAAGAGATAATGATATAAATTAATATGAAACAATTAAAAATATGATTAATGGCACAATGTGCCAAAATTCTCAAACTGAATATTTAATTTAAAACTAAGATTATACATACATTCAACAATATTAAACTAAAGCTCTTAATTCTACATTTAATACTGAAGACTTGGCCTTCAAGCAATAGTAACTAATATCTAGCAGATAAACTGATTGTGTATAATAAAACTACAATGGCACACTGCAGAATAAACTAAATGAGCTTTAGCATGGGAATATATGAAAAATATATGCTTCACAATCCTCTCTTGAGCTGATTAACATTCAACTATCAAACATGTTCAATCATCTCTTCCTTATCTTGCAAAAGTATCAAAAAAAGCCACAAAATTTAGGAAAAGGGGAAAAAAATCAGAAACAGTATCATTACCAGTGGCATTTCTACAGTGCAGCTTCATATTCCTGAATCATAGATACAAAGTAAAACTGGCTTTATACTCGTGTTATAGATTTCACAAGTCAACTGAAGTGAGCATCACTTCAGGATCAGAGTGTATTACTTTGTCTTCAAAAATACAATCAACTTTAAACATATAATCTAGCATTCCCAAACAATTAGTTCTATGATCTCAGAGGAGTAAAAACAAAGTACTGTACTTTGTTACTCATTATCTTTGAAATGCTCTTTTGAGATGTTTGTCAAATCACCATTAAACTGGAATGCAAATGCTGTGAGGATATACTGTACCTCCATGTGTCTTTCAAGCTCTTTGAGTAATGTGGGATATTTATCTAGACGCATAAAAGGTTTGCTCAGGCCTGTGGTCAGTACAAGAATCCCAGGGCTATTGGCTCCTTTTAGCTCCATGAACTCTCCTAACTCTTCACTGTACATACAGAAAGAAAAGTAAATAAATATTTGAAGTTTAAATGGGGAGTGGCAGCCAGCCATATTTGTAAGAAATTTTCAAAAATATTCTAGTTCAGTATCTTCTATATGTAAATCTGCACAATACTGCAGCAAGCTATGGCTTGTTCCAAATGTCAGTTCAACAGAATCAGAGCATACCGTCAGATTATTTTCCCCCAAAATTAATAGCTATGATTCAGCCTTCATTTATTTAGAGCAAAACCAGGCCATCCACAATACTAGTGCTTTAAATCTCCTTCAAATCTTTTTGTCCAACATGCGGAAAGTGAGGCTGGGGGGAGGGGACCAAGCTATCTGCAGAAGTGGAGGGCCAAGTACTGCAAAATCCTGAACCCTGCCTGCCATGCATCTTCAACACACCTTCTAGTTTAACATCGCAGGACTGATCACCTTTTAAAAACAACAACACAAAGAAATCTATATTACTTTTTTTTCATAATTCCTGAATGTTTTCCAAAATTCTTCTCTGCATGTGGAAAATAACCAAACAAGGCAGAGACTTGATACTGTCATTATTCACTTGATTATAAACAGACATCCTATGAGAACTATCAAGTACCTCTTTTCTTTTCTTTTTTTTTTTTTTTTTTGGTTTACAAGAGGGGCAAGTAGAATTTTAATCTCTTCCTCACTGGATTATGTTTAGCTTTCTTGCAGAGCTTCACTGATCTCCCCTAATACCACTTTGAAAGACAACTAGAAAGAAATTGCTAAAAAAAGCTATCAATATTTCTATGAAGAAAAGAGATAAAGTAGAGGAGATGGCCTTATTCACTACTATTTTCATAACTAGGACAGTTCCCTCTTTATCAGTGACTATTTTGATTCTTCAGCTAATGAAACTGAAGCCACTTAAAGCACAATTTTGATTTGATTAATTACTTCAATTTGTTTTTCCTGTGAAAGAACTTTACTTTGGGATTTAATATGAATCTTGGAATATACAGATATTTAATTTAATCTGTTTTCTTGGATGATAATTCTGTTCACAAAATTAATGTGTAGATAGTTCAAAATCATAGCTATTTTAACAAAGACTCTTTATGTGAGAAGCATTACGCAGCAAATTCACAATCTACTGAACTAAAACAGTAAGCAGAAAAATAAGATAAAACCAATTCTTTAATTGCACAAACAGATCCCTGCAATACAAAAAATAAATTACTATGTATCATTTACTCAAAGCAAGTTGGCTACACAGAATCATTTTCCACTGTTAAGTTCTACACTTAGAACCACTTATTAAGGAGTAAAACTCTATAAAATCACTGAGACTTGTTTCTGAATGCATGTATATAAAACTGTAATTTAAAAAAAAGAAAAGAAAACAATGAATTAAAACATGTTAAACTTGTCCTCCAAATTAAATCTAATCAATTGTCATTTTAAGGTATAAAATCGCTACAAATTAAGAAGGATGTTTTTAAACCTCCAAGTACTTTCTTCAGAAATCAGTCAGTAAACAATAGAACAAGAATAAACATATATAATTATAAGCCAATGCAAAACACTGAAAGCCATAACTTACACTTCCAGTTCCTGCCTATAATAGATAGAACATGAACTCTCAGAACTGAAAGGTCTAAAGATGTCACACAGACAATGCATGCTCAAGACCTTCCAGCAAATCTTTGACTCACAAAATGATCTGAGCTCTTGACTGCCGTTCCACACTGAATGACTTATTCTGAGGCTGTTGCTTCAAGTATGACATCATCCCTATGTTAGCAGCCCTTGGGAAACCACACGAGGGAGGGACAATAGATTGACTCAGATCCTTATCGGGATCCCACATGCCAATTAATCTCTCATAAGTGTGATTTTCTAAGCTTCCCATTTTGAAATTTGATATTAAAAACAACAAGACTAATGCAATAGTTAGATATTATTTAAGTTTATGCAACTATAATTTAAAAATCAGCAGTGGTGTCTGTTTACAGATAGGATTGTTACTTTGAAGCAATAAATCTGAAGTATTATATGTTTTACATCTTATTCTTACTTGTATTAATTTTTGATCAATTATATGCCACCAAATGTTTTACTCCTAGCAACCATAATAATTAAAATAATGCCATTTATTTATATACTAGTTTTCATACCCAAGTTTCCCCACGAAACATATTACAATAAAATCATAGCATAAAATTTTTGAAAATACACACTTTTCTTCAAAATGTATTCTATTAACAGTGCTTTCATAGGCAACCAATTTATCTCAGACATTTAAACTGGCTGGCTTGATGACAACCCTTTATAATATAAAGAACAGAATCCCTGAAGTGAAAAATAATACAGGTGTCATGTTGGGATCGCTGCGTGGAAGTGCTTTTATTAGAAAAATCTGGGCACAAATCCTTCCCAGCCAAACCTATTTGTATTATATTATGCTTCATCAATTATAAAGTCCCTTTCATTCAGGGTATCATTCTAAATTCTAGAATAGCCACCAGGCAAAATTCTAATTTTTAATGGCTGTTAAAACAAGTTCAGCTACTTGCTACTAACTCTTAAATTCACAGCACAGTCACATTAAAACAACTCTTCACACACACACTTTTGATAACAATGATAATGCTACCATAAACATTACTAGCAGGGAATCTTTAGAAAAAGTATTTTTTTCCCCACAAACTTCAAAACTACCTTGGTATACGTAATGCCAGCATTTTTTTCCAACAATCAACTGTTATCTAATATGAATATTGCCCCACTTGCAATAACAGCATGCTGCTGAGCAATCTCTCCATGCAGTAACTTGACAATGTTTTTTAAAAATATGTAACAGCAAGAAGAATAAAAACAGTTTCACTAGATCAGACCAAAGGTCCCAACAAGTTCACATGCAGCCTTTAATAGTGGCCAACCAGAGTCTTCCAGAAAGTGCACAAAAAGGCTTTAAAGCAATAATCCTCCTGCTATCCTGCTCCTGCTAAATACTTGATATCCTGTGGCATTCAGCCTCTAAACTGCAGTGTTCCTCACAGTCATTTCTCTGTATTAATTATTTATAAATCATCTCTCAAAACTACAGTATTTTTTCCAAGGGAACATATAAAATATAACATTAAAAAAATAAAGTAATAATATTAAATGCAAAGACATGCCCAAACTCAAATGTTACTTCAACCAGCCATTCTACTATAAGATCTAAAAACAGATTTTCTATCATGTATTTATTAGATCTCTAACCACCCATAAAAGCTATCAAAATGCTGCATTAAATGTTTTAAAAGACATAGGTAGAAAACCATAAAAACCAAATGAAACATTAATTTAATTTAAAAGGCTAAAAATAGAATGTGAGCTTTAAAAACTCTTAAGGAAAAAAAATCCATTGTTGGTAACACTAGAGAAGTCCTTTTCTCACCCGGCTACTAACAAACTAGGCCTCTAAAAATGCCTATTGCTGCAAAAAAAAAAAAAAAAAATCTCTCTTGCAGATCATAACTAGAATGGTTTATAAATTGTCCAAAAACAACAAAACTGATAACCTAAACTTTTAAAATAGAATGGAAAAAAACTTTTAATGCTTGGTTTAAAAAATAGGAAAGAAACCACTATCTCTTATATTCACTTGCTGAATTATCACTTATGATGAGTCCATAAGCAAAGTTTCTTTTAGGTTACATTATAACTATCCAAATCATTTGAAAAAAATACAGTCCATAAAAGCATATATAAAGCAGTTTTTTCCGAATCATTAAACAGCCTTGGTTGTGCACACGCCCATATGGAGAAATAACCAAGAACCACCTTTTGAAGCAATCGCATGAGAAGGATGCACCTGTTTCAACTATTCAAAGAGAGGCACTTTGCATGCATTCTGCCTTATGAAGCATCTCTTTCAAAGGATATTGGTGTAAAGAATATACGAATTAACTCAGTCCCAAACCATTCAAGTTTTTAAAGTTTAATACCAGCACTATTCATTTTCTACAATTCTATGTATGGATATACTGGACTAGAGAAATCTTTGATAAGATTCAGCAGGACTCTTCAATTTGAAATTTAATCCAGTTTTGGTCACCACCATGTAAAAAAGATGTTAAGACTCTAGAAAGAGTACAAAGAAGAGCAACAAAGATGATTAGGGGACTGGAGGTTAAAACACATAAGGAACGGTTGCTGGAATTAGGTATGTTTAGTTTAATGAAGAGAAGGATGAGGGATGATATGATAGCAGTGTTCCAATATCTCAGGGGCTGCCACAAAGAAGAGGGTGGACTTCAACTCCCAGAATTCCTGAGCCAGCATGGCTCAGCTTGGAAACTTCCCCCTTTTCCTCTTAGAATGACTGGCTCAGGAATTCTGAGAGTTGAAGTCCACGAGTTATAAAAGTATATGAGTCAGCGGTGTGCTGCAGCTACCAAAAAAGCCAACACAGTGCTAGGATGCATTAATAAAGGGATAAAATCAAGATCACGTGAAGTGTTAATACCACTTTATAATGCCTTGGTAAGGCCACACTTGGAATACTGCATCCAGTTTTGGTCACCACGATGTAAAAAAGATGTTGAGACTGTAGAAAGAGTACAGAGAAGAGCAATAAAAATGATCAGGGAACTGGAGGCTAAAACATATAAGGAATAGTTGCTGGAATTCGGTATGTCTAGTTTAATGAAGTGGGATGACATAATAGCAGTGTTCCAATATCTCAGGGGCTGCCACAAAGAAGAGGGAGTCAAGATATTCTCCAAAGCATCTGAAGGCAGGACAAGAAGCAACGGATGGAAACTAACCAAAGAGAGAAGCAACCTAGAACTAAGGAGGAATTTCCTGACAGTTAGAACAATTAATTAGTTGAACAACCTGCCTCCAGAAGTTGTAAATGCTCCAACACTGGAAATTTATAAGAAGAGACTGGACAGCCATTTGTCTGAAATGGTATAGGATTTCCTGCCTGAGCAGAGGGTTGGACTAGATGACCTCCAAGGTCCCTAGCTACATATTTTAAAGAAACTATATTTATTTTCAAGTCCAACACAAAAACATTGCTATTTCCATGTTATGTATGACTTAAACTTTTCAAATGCATTTCCACTACAACCAGATGAAAACATCAAGGCAACAGGCTTATATTTATTGCCAACATTATTTCTGAAACAGAAAAAGAAGCAAAACATAAATGTATAAACTCTTCCTTATTTGTATCATTTCTAGATGCACATACCTGTGTTCTGTAAGAACAGTTACTGCAGATGGATGATTGGCACAATACATAAGGTACAAGTTTTTCATTTGTGGCATGAGATTTAGAAAACAACCCCCAACCTTCTGCTGGGCTTCAGGCAACCTGAAATAAAAGAGCACAATGTACCTTTTTAAAATTATCTAAGACCCAATGCCTTCAAACTTATCAGGATACTGATGACACTGATCTCAAAAGTCATATAAATATTCTTATTTGGATGGAAAGATGATGAGGGAAACAAAGTAGCAGGAAATAGTTTTACAAATTATTTAATATATCTGCCTATCACTTTATAAAATATTATTTTCAATCAATAATTTAAATAGAGTAAACATTAATGTTATATTTTACACTAATTACTATTTGGTATAATTCAATTCAGTTCAAGGTGACAATCATTTTAACAAATACGAAAAAGGGGAAAAGAAAAATAAAGCCATTCTTAAAGTGAAGCCGGGTCTCCATTAGCTTCTGAAAGGAAGTAATCATAGATGGTTTCCAGATTTCAAGAAAGAGAATATTCCAGAGTGAAGGTGTCAGCACTACAAAGGCCCATGAGGACTCCATAGTTCTTGACATATGCTGAAAGTCCTCACCAGAACCATCTTAGTGATTTATCTACAATGGCAAAAGTATCTCAATCTCAAATTATTTAAAGGCATATTAATAAAAACTGAAGAGTTGGTTGCAAGATGAATGGCTACTGTATATGTTTTAAATAATAAAAAATGAAATAAATAAATAAAATAATAAAATAAAATGCAAAATGTGAACCTGGCTCACTAGCTATCTAGTGAGTACACTTGCACGAATAATTTGGAAAGTAGTGTACAGCCATTCAATCTGAAATGGTACTCTTGAAATACTGGGGGATTTTGTATTCTGTGGTTAAACAAGGTTTCAGTAAAGACTGTTTAAGTTTACAGAAACAGTCATGCTTAATAACAGTCCTAGATAAAACAGACCTGGAGGTTTCATTTTTAAGATTGTATCGTAAAGCAGTACATTTGGGACATATTGTTATTCCACTGCAACTATTTATATGGAAATAGTTGCAATGGAATAACAATACAGAGTTGGTACATAACTTCAGTAAGAATAGAACAAATATCTCACAACTACCCAACAAAATGTTGGCAAGGTTGTCACCAGAGGGAAATCTTTTTCATCTGTGGTGAGCATATGTGAAAAAATAGTGCTTTTTTGGGGAAAAAAATATTGAAATAATTAAGAAGTAAGATTAAACAAACAAAAAAAAATAGAATGTGCTCCTGAAATGGAATTATATTTTTTCAAGGAATTAATGCTAAATTTCATAATAAGGAACCATACTATATTTTTATATTTAGCAGCTAAATTAATAATGTGGGGCAGGCATGTCAAACTGCTGGCCCGCAGGCCGGATGTGTCACGCTAAAACCGTGCCCACCCCATTGCCGGCACTGGGGGAAAAGTCACAATACGTCACACGACATCACGTGACACCGTGAGTTTGACATGCCTGATTTAGGGGATGCGTTTGAAGATCATCTGGAAGCTACAATTGGTCCAGAATGCAGCAATATAGTAGTAGTTATGACTGTTTTTCAGTATGCCTGGGTAGCACCATTATTCTACAAGCGGCACTGGGCTTCCAGTGAAATTATAAAACCCTACATGATACAGAACCAAGTGATCTTCAGGATGACTTTTTCCCACTATATCTGTAATTCCTTCACACTCCAACAGATACAGCACACTTTTGGACCAATTTTGAAACTACCATTTTATGGGACCTAGACACATGCCTTTTTTATGGTGGTACCTACACTCCCAAATAATCCCCTCCCCTCCTCAATTTATGGCTGGCTCCAATCCTGCAAGCCTTTAAAAGACAGTGAAAGCATGGCTCTTTCTTCCACGTTTGCATCACCATGAAAAAAGTTCTCATCTGGGGACATTGAATAAATTTTGCTTCCTGATTACATATTAACAAGTTTTTAACTAGCATTGATATTTTGGCATATTTGTTTTTAGCATTTCTGCTATTGGTTTTTTTGTCTGCTCCCAAAATCATATTCTCCAAGTTGGGTGGAAATGCTATAGATAAATAAATATTCAACAGTGGAAGTTCCTCAATAATTTAACAATTGAAAATTGTTAACAGTATGGTTAATTGCTCATCTTTAAAAAGAGGTCAATTGCATGTTTATCAAATCTGAAAATATTATATTATTACATTAATACCTATAATTTTAATGATCTTTGCTGTTATTGGAAGTAAAATAAAAGTAATTTTAAAAGTTAGTGACAACACAGAAAATGCAATGAATAAAATTGTTCTCTGAATTTTTAGGTATATAGTTACAGTATATAGCTACTCTGACATTTTATTTGCCTGTAGGTTTCTAAGCACAGTGGTCTCAGGCCCTAATAAAATTTAATTTGAATTTTATATAAAAAATTAAAAGCAAGTTTTATATAGGAGAACAGAAATGGCCTTACATGAAGTGTTCATCAGCCATTAGAGAGAAGAGAGAAAAGTGAGGAAGAAGCTCAAGATAGCTCTGCTTTGATTTACTCAGTATAAGTTCTTGAAGGGCCTGTTTCCTGACTTGGTCTACTTCAGAGCTGATAAGTTTCATTTTTGACTTATATAAAGATTTATTTTATTTTATTTAGAAGATTTATATAGCCATTCACTCTTAATGATTCCAGGCAGCTTACAAATAATAAAACCCAATATAAAAGAATAAAAAACAATACCCCCACTACTTACTTAGTGCATTCTTCTAAAGACTGCGCAAGCATTTGTTGAAAAGAACTAATTTCTTCTAGGTTTCCCATTAAATATGAAGTATCTGCAGAATTTAATCTGTAACAAAGTAAATAAGAACATTAAAACAAAATACTTCTTTAAAAAAAGCAAAATCTTCCAGATTAACCTTGGCTTCAGGGAATTGTCTTGTTTACTTGTCAATCCTGCCTTTTTGTCAGGCCCAAAAGACCAAGTCCACACATGATTGGTTCAATTAAACTGATTTAATGCTAAAAGCCTACATATAGGAATCTTCTCAACTACGATCAGCACTTGGTTACAGATGGATAAGGGTCAAGGACAATCAAGGGGGGGTGGATTTAATTTATTTGTGGCTACATAGGGATTCTAGGTTGATCCCTTTTTTACTCTGCCCCCAGTTTCTGCCATTCCTTCTACACTTTTGCCCAACAAAATACAATAGAACAATTTGCACTGACCACATATTCTATCTAAAACATTTTCTCCTTTCATTTAGGAAATTGGTTACTCTCTTCCACCATAAAATAATCCATATGTGAACATGTAAGCAGTGTAGACAGAACTGCAGTTGAAGGTGTGCAATATCTGAAAAAATTAGAAAGCAAGTAGTATCCAGAGCAGACGATAATAGAGGCAATACAACTGACTCTTATGAACAGACTAATTCAATATACTGTATAGGGTAATGCCATCTAAAAACAGTAGTGATAAGTGATCAATTTTTTTTTAAGAATGGCAACATATTATTTCTATGTGTCTTTCTGACTGGTACTTTTCTAAAAAACTGCTCTCATTCACTTAACAACTCATAATTCTCAGTTAATTATTGCCAGGGCTTTTTTTGTCATAGAACACCCAGAACGGAGTTCCAGAACCTTTTTTGGATGAACCTTGTAGGATAGGCAAGAAAAGCACTGATTATTGCAATGGGGAATGCCAAGATTGCTATCATAAGTCAGTCTTGCTTTATGACTGCATCGCTTAGTGATGGAAACGTTGATCTCAATTGTGGTTGTAAGTTTACAACTATGGTACTAACCACGTCCAACACTGGCTCTGAATCTCCCAACTAGCTCTAACACTTTTTATGGCCAAATGCACTTACTTTTCACTAGTTTGCAAGGGTCGTAGATAGCTAGAAAGCATCATCTGTAATTCCTTAGCATATTCATTTTCTGTTTCCAGAATATTCTGTAGCACCTACAATGCATAAAACTTTAAATCAGATTGTTACAATTAAGAAACATTAAGAAAAAAATCAGTCAAACTGGATCAGTCTCCCAGGAGTCTTATAATCTTCAGATATTATACAATGCAGCCAATTTTTAGCCTGCTTGGTGTATAAAACAGTTATTCATGCTCGAATGAAAACCTGATGAAACAAGGGATAGGCTAAACCATTTAAAACTGAGAATTCGTAGATTCTTTCATTAGTGTTGCTGAGCTCAGTTTGGGGGCCTTGAATAGGCCTATTCATTGAAAAGGGGAGGAGGAAGGGAGACTATTTCTGAGTTCATTCTTTTGTTGGTAACTTGACTCCTGCCCCAAAGATTAAAATGTCTCCATTCTGCACTAAGCACTAGGAATGACAGATGTTACAAAGAACTTATAAACTATGAAAACAGCAGTTTTAAAGTACAGTACAAAAAAGATTTGAAAACTACAAAATTAGAAAGATTAGTCCATTTAAATTTTGGAAAGTAAAATGCAATAGCATACAATCAGCAGATTACTGAAAGAAGTTTAGGCTAAACAACAGAAAATCAGCAAATCATTTTCCAATCTAAGAAGAAATTAGGTAATAATTGACTTAAGTTGTGGGAAGGAGAGTCTAAAATAAGGATCCACCAAGCAACTCATTCAGCCAGGTTTTCAAATACTACAAAGATTATCAAATGCTACCAATACATTCTGTTCTGTTTTCTAATTGCACAGATCAAATTGCTATTTAGAGACAATAATCATAAAAATGCATTTAATTTAAATATGTTTTCTATTCAACTATCTATTTAGGAGTTGATAAATTATTTTTTGAAGTTAAAATAAACAGTTATCCTCTCTAAATTGAACAAAGATTATATAAATAAAACAACTTAATACTGAATATGAATTAACAAAGATAATAACAATTTAATCAAAGCAAAGTGCATTCTCAAAAAAAAGGGTTCAATTCTTTAAATCATCTTACATTTGCCACACTCATAAAAAAAACTGCTTAAAAAGCCTGTTTTAATTTTAGGGTTCATTCAAAAAGTAATACATGTTTACTTTTTACATTCTCTCTTTTACACAGATGCCATATTTATCACCAATGCAGAAAAATTGTGCGCTATAATTGCAGCAGTAAAACTGCACATTTTAGTACAGCACATTTTACATGGCTGCACTTAGTAATTTCTGAGGTCCCCATCACATGTTTCTACTTTAATAATCACCTTTCTCCTCTTTCCTGTTTTTTGCATTCTGAACTGCTACAAGACCCCATATTCCAACCTGATTCTGAAAACCCCATCACCAATTCATGAAATTAAGTACTAAATGTGGACTGCTTTCAAAGAGATGGTAAGCTTTTACAATGTGGATTTTAAATGAAACGCACAGAGAATCCCATGTGAGCAATCCAGTCAGAAAGCACAGGAAAAAATAAAGTGCATCGAAAGTTCATTCACGCAAAATCTAGCTATTTTCCCTAAAGCAAAACCTCTTGAACAGCATTGCTTTAAAATGTAATTTTTTAAAGGTGTCTTCCACTGTTAGGTATACCGAAACCCAGATCTATTTCACAAAAACATGAAATCTATAATATATTCCCTAATGATGAATTTTGTCATGTCACATATTTAGGAACTATTGCTGAAAACATGATTTCCCCGCTTCTATGTACACTACATATATGTCTCCATCGACAGCTCAGAGAAATGATTTAAAAATTCTAGCTTATACAGAATATGGAATGATCTAAATCAAAGATCCATAGTAATCCTTGTACGTTTATTTTACTTTCTGAAATAATCCAATGTAGAACTCAACTTGGTAGCTCTATATCAAGATTATTTAATATTAACCTAGATGATATTATACCAGTTTCAAAAAAAGCTAGAAAAATAATTACTGTATACCCAAACCATTAATCAATTACAGTCTTAATCTCTGGGCCACTGGCCACTGCACCCATTATTTTAGCTCTATAAGAAACATCAAAGAAAATATCTGGATGAGTTTTAGTTTTCTGGAAAAAATCAGCTAGACAGGTCTGAAACACCTGCTATAGATTTTAATTGTCATATGGCAAAAGGCATTCATTTATTATTTTGTCAATTACATGGTCTCATTCTATAAGCTGTTGTGAGATTTTGCTATAATCCAACAGATGTTCAAGAAAGATAATTATTTTCTCCTATCAAAAATGTGGTACAGGTATTATAACCTAACCATCACAAATGAAGAAGACATAGTGACTAAAGTATTAAATATATAATCTGTTTTTATCCTTTTACACCTATCAGCATCTTGTTCATTTTTTTCCATTTTAAGATTATACAGTTGGAGATTGGATGATGAAATATAAACCTTCATTTTTGCAAATTTTTCAAATTTTGGAAAGGTGGCAAAAATGGTAAATTTTATTATCGTTTTGCCACATTCTGAAATAAGACTGGAAATGCAAACAAGAGTTATAGACAATTCTTAGTGAACCATCTGGATTTTCAAATAGCAGAAAAAAAATTGTGGTAAGAAAATGAAAATCTGGGAGTATTCGTGATTATAATAATAATAATAGTAAAGTTGGAAGGGACCTTGGAGGTCATCTAGTCCAACCCCCTTCTCAGGCAAGAAACCCTACACTATTTCGGACAAATGGCTGTCCAGTCTCTTCTTAAAAACCTCCAGTGTTGGAGCATTCACCACTTCTAGAGGCAGGTTGTTCCACTGGTTAGTTGTTCTAACTGTCAGGAAGTTTCTCTTTAGTTCTAGGTTGCTTCTCTCCTTGATTAATTTCCACCTATTGCTTCTTGTCCTGCCTTCAGGAAAATAGCTTGACACCCTCTTCTTTGTGGCAGCCCCTGAGATATTGGAAGACTGCTATCATGTCATCCCACGTCCTTCTCTTCATTAAACTAGACATACCCAATTCCAGCAACCGTTTCATATATGCTTTAGCCTCCAGTCCCCTAATCATCTTTGTTGCTCTTCTCTGTACTCTTTCTAGAGTCTCAACATCTTTTTTATATCGCAGTGACCAAAACTGGATGCAGTATTCCAAGTGTGGCCTTATTATCAACCAGACCATCTAGCGCATAGATTATGACTAACACTGAAATGAAAAATTAGAATCAGTATAATATTCCAGCGTATCCATTATACTTGCTGCTAGGTCTCAAGGAATTTATAAAATCTTTTGAGTCAGCAAGATAAATATAGATAGAACTGCAAAGGTAGGCTCATTCTATTACATCTTTGATGTAATAACATCAAAGAGGTGGCCTCTGGCAGCACAGCCCCCCCACTAAAAAAATTAATACTGAAGCAAAATACTTGATGCGAATGGTATCGACATAGTAATGATGTTATATAATAGCTTTGGGAATAATGAGGAATATTCAAGAGGCAGAACAGTAGTACAATTCTATGTATGTCTTATGGTACCAATTTAGTAATGCTGGGTTTTTAAGATAATTTAAATGTAATATTAGGTATATATCAACTGTTATCCGTAGTTGTATCCCACCATCAGCAATGTTCAAAATGGACTCAGTACTGTAAGTATCCAAACTGACAAAGACAGTATTCAGAGACAGAGACAAAGACAAGACTGTATAGTATGTGAATCTTGGGCTCTACAACTAATAGGAAAATGTTGGGAAGTAGTTAGTATGGACATCTGCAAATTCAACAGTGACTGCAACTTTAAGGCCTCATTCACAGAAGATTAATGGAAGACTTGAATGGTAATAGCAGGGAGTCAATTCAATAAATATTTGGTCAAAAGTGCAGGAATCAGAGGGAGTCACATACTCCCAGAGTAAGAGTAAAGCCTCTGGGTCTATTAACCAAAAATGAAAAAGAACTCAGAGATATAAGTAATAACAATAAAAATGAAAAATACAGTCAGAAAGCAGAGAAAAACAAACTAAAAAAAATAGGCACGTGATTAACTTCAAAAATGAGGACCAACTGAAGTTTACACAAGGCAGCAAATTCATCACTCAAATGAGAAGGGATGTTGTCTTACCTGAACGCCTTTTCTCAGTACGGAGATGGAGAATCCACCAATGGGTTTTCTCTGTCTGCCTGCTCTTGAGACCAAGTAGTCAAACCTGACATGCCCCCTCTTGCTAGGAGATCCAGTCTTGACGATGTAAGGACTAGGTGTTGGCTCTCAAATTCCTAATAACGGCCTAACTGACCTAAGGGTGAGTGTGAATTCTCCTTCTCCATACTGAGAAAAGGCATCCAGGTAAGACAACACCTCTTTTCCAGTACAGGAGATGGAGAATCCACCAATGGGACATACCAAAGCCTCACTGTCCCTATGGATGGGAAACAGATAAGGCCGGATCTACATCCCCGGAGACCACCTGCTGAAGGACCCTCCGACCAAAGGAGGCGTCCGCTGAAGCGAAGCGGTCAATCCTATAATGGCGTATGAATGGGGAGGGCGAGGACCATGTTGCAGCCCTGCAAATCTCCTCGATGGACGCCTGAGTGGCCCATGCCGCAGATGTCGCAGCACTGCAAGTGGAATAGGCTGTGATATGACTTGGAATCGGCAAGGAAGAAGACTGGTACACCTCCGCGATACAGGTCCTGATCCACCTGCCTATAGTGCCAGCAGACACCTTCTGTCCCAGAGAAGCCGGACAGAAGGAAATAAAGAGGGCCTCAAATCTGCGAAGAGGCTCCATACGTTTGATGTAATGCCGCAGGGCTCTGTGGACGTCCAGTGTGTGCCACTGCCACTCCAAGTCATGGGAAGGATCGGGACAAAAATTTGATAAAATGATTTCCTGTGCCCTATGGAAGAGTGAGTTGACCTTGGGCACGAAAGCGGGATCCAACCAAAGGACCACCCGGTTTCGGTGGAAGATGCAAAGGTCATCCCTGACCGAGAGAGCAGCCAGTTCGGAGATACGCCTGGCTGATGTGATGGCGATTAAGAATGCAACCTTAAGGGACAAGGCCTGCAATGGTATAGTAGC